TGTACCACATTCCCAGTCCCAGTCCACATCCATGCAAAAGGATACTTTAGCCATGCCCAGCACAGTTTGCCACCCCATTCCAGCTCTTGCACTCAACAATTGGACCCACAGCCCAGCAGCGGCATCACTATCTCTCCCTTATCTCGTCCCTTCCCAGCTACATATTTTGTGTGTGCCAGTGGTGGCTCTGACCCAGTCTGGCATGGCCCATCACCCAGGTTGGCTTTTGCCACCAGATATTGCAGCCTGGTCTAACCTGGGCCCACCCCCAGCCCCAAATTGTCTGACGGGTACTGCTGTCTAGCTCTGCCCAATCAGTTCCCAACCCTGGCTCTCATGCAAACAGGCAGGTACAGAAGCCTAACCTGGCATGGCTGATACCACATCCTGGCTCCCACACATGCCAGTGTATGCTATGACTTGTCCTCGCCTTGCCCACTCCACCACCCCCCAGCAACATACCATCCAGCCCACACACCTGCAGACAGTAGGGTAGCCCTACCTTCTCTAGCCCACAGCCAGCCCCAACTCTTCTGTTCACCTGCAGGAGCTACAGCCTGGTAGGAGAAACCCCAAATTTCCCCACCAGTCCTGCTCCCAGGCTCAGATTTCACACATATCAATGGGTGTAGGGCCTGGCCCAGCATATTCCACCCTCAGCCCTGGCCTTTGTGTGTGCTGTTGGATCCTGTATTCCATTCAATCCCACACCCAATTCTTAGTGTACCTGCAGGTGTGTCAGCTTAGACCAACCCAACCTACTCTGAACCCCAGTTCTCAAGGTGTTGTTGAGTTCTGTGGTCATGCCTAGCTTGACTCTCATCACCCCCAGCTCTAGCACAAGCAAGTAGGTATTTCAGTCCCACTAGTTTTGGCCCATAAATTCTTCTCAGCATCTGTGTCCAGATCTAGTTCTCTTGCACGCCATTAGTGCCATGGCCCAGCCTAAATGGCCTACACCCATCCCAGGACTTCCACATGGGCAGGTGTCCTGGTCTGACCCAAGCTTGTTCTCTAGCTCCCCCCTGCTTCCAAACTACCTGATCCAGTCCCATTGTTTGCCTGCAATTGCAATGTCCTTTTCTGTGGAAGTCCCCAATAAGTCATTCCTTACCTGTAATGCACTTCTTCAACTGTACCACCTTCCACAAATCCCCAACTGCCTCCCAGAACAATCATAGCCACCATGTCTGCAGCTGAGTGGGTGCAGGACCCAGGCCTGGTCTGATGGTGCAGCACATGGGGCTTCAGGCGGGCCCAGGACACTATCAGCCTGCCTGGGCCTTCATGTACCTTTCTAAGTCTGGTTCTTATGGGGCAATGTAGGTGGCTGTTGAACAAAGGCAGACATTCATCTGGGTAGTGTGTGGTTGTTGAAAACCTCAGCATTCTGGAAGTTCCATGTCCTTGGCTTTCAGACCATTAATATGCTGAAAGGAAGCTATTAAAAATAACTCCAGGCAGAGCACTGCCCTATCTTGCCAATTCTAATGGCTCCTGGCATTGCTCAGAGGGATGGGGCTCCCTCAGTTCTCAGCTTCTGTCTGCTCTTTTAAGAGCTCTTTGTAAGGAACCATAAGCCAGCTCAAAATTTGAACCCAGGACCTGTCAGCTTTCAGGCTTCATTCCTCATACCCAATCTAAGGAAGCACACGGGTGCACAGGGAAGTGGGCCTCAGGAGCAGCAGATTTTAAGCCTGGGACGTGGTAATGTCAGTGCTGCCCTTTGGTCTGGAAAGGAGAGGCATCTGTCATGTTTCCTGGCTGGCCTGCTGGGCTCCCACACCAGCAAAATCACATGAGCCTCAAACACTGACCTAAGTTATATATTTTTTTTCTCTTTTCAGAGCTGCTTATTTTGACACTACTTTTTTTGTTAATATTAAGGTATAATTCATGGGAATTGTATTGTTTCATTGTGGCGCTGTGTTTTGTTATAGTCTTCCAAGAAGGGCCATTTTATTTTTTAGAGTCACTTTTGAAGTCCCATGGTTGTTAACTTTAGGGATTGTTTTGTGTGAGTGCTGATACAAATTGAAACCCAAACAGATCTCATCACACAATACCCCATGAATGCTGATGGATGTAAGGAGTGGCTATAGGAAACCATCACCCCTGGACTGAAAAGCTAGGAAGAAACTTTATTTTCTTCTTTTGTATCTTCTTTTCCTAATGAAAAGAAGATAATCTGCTGGGTTTCTCATTAGCCTCAGCAGGTGAAGCAAGCTGGTCATATTAATTCAGGTTGAAGAGATCATCTGAATCTGGGTTTGTTCAGATTCACCATCTACATGTAATACGACCTAATAGGACCCATCTCCTGGGACTCTCAAGTTCCACAGGTGTGCACGGGCTCCTTCTTTGTAAACTGGCATTGAAACATTGCAATGAATTATACACATTATGCTGCAATGTTTTATTGTACCAATTTCATAAAACATTTACAGTGCAATATGTATTTCTCTTCTAAGGTAAACCAAAGGTACATTTCTCAAGGTTTTTGCTGCCTCTTTGGGAAGCATTAATGAAATCTCATATAAATTTGTAGTAAGGAGAAAAGAAACCAGGCTGTAAATCCTTTTAGAAAAAAATTTAAACCATCTACCAGGTTTTGGTCAAAATTGTTTAAATCATGTTCTGATAGACAATATGAGTGTATTTCTGTAAGCATCGCTATATTGAAAGAAAATTTTAAAAAGCAAAGAAAAAAAGAGGTATTTGAGTTCTTTGGTTGGTTGACTGGGGTAGGCACACTTAACTAACTTTCGAGTGTACCTGGTATGGTTCGTTTGCTCAAGTCAGAAAGGGGAGTGGCCCAACAGGATACATGGGGGCCAAGGCTGGGACAGACATCCATGGGCCCTTGTCTCTGACATCCAGGACCTTGATGCATCTAAGAACCAGCAGAATGTGAAGTCACTGGTTGCTTGTCAGTGTCAAGGGCCATCAGTGAGATCAAGCACAATGCTCAAAAGGGAAAAGAGGGTCAGGTGACCAGGCTCCAGGACACAGAGAAGACACAGGCAGCAGCATGCCCAGCTCTCAACCCTGGGCCACAGCTCACAGCTGGTCCAGGTCGCACAGCAGAGCCAGGCAGGCAACCTCAGAACCCAGGCCATTGAGTAAGGCTTACTGCCATTCCCAGCCCATCTGGATAGCATGTCACCCCAGGCCCTGTTTCCAAAGAAACAAAGGAGAGAAGAAAGAAAGGAGACGAAGTGAGAAAATACTAGAGTAGTATATAATTTTGTCTGAGCAAGTACAGAAACAAGGTATTTTGAAATGTATACAGTATTGAATACCTCTCCATATTGACAAATATATATGTTGCCTGTTCTCATTGTTTCATTCTTTTTGTTGTTGTTGTCTTTGCCAAAGATAGCATGTAAGCTCTACAAAGTAAAACAGAAGTTTGAAAATTTTACAATTTTCCAATGTTTCTAACTTATTCTCTTAGGATCTGTGATATTACAAAACATGATCATCTACAAATTAAATGTCAAGAGAAGAAAATCTAAATAACATGGCCTCACAATGCATTACAGTCTACTTTAAAAAGTCATGATTAGCACAAAATCCAATCAGTGTGTAGGATGGACCTATGAACTTTAACACACCAGAAAACCAAATACCCAACAGTAGGGCTTCAGCTTCTCTCTTTAAAAGTTGGCACTTGATCACTTTAGTGTATGATCAAAGGTGAATAGTCACAATTATTTGAATACATTATTAAGGTATTCCTCCTACATGTTTGTCTGAGGCTGAGTTTCTTTTTTTATGTACTACAACAAGGAGGGGGAGGTTAAATGTAGAGCAAAAGTGAAAATCCAGTGATCTTTTACCTAAATGTCAAAAGGAGCAGCAAAGAGACAAAGTGTGAAGATAAATTCTCCTCACTATCCTGTTTGTTTTGGAAATAGTTATTTCTCTTAAAAACAGTATTCATTTAAAAATCATGGGATATGGGTCCCGACGCGATGGCACAGTGGTTACGGTTCTAATCCCTGCAGCCCTGCCTCAGGATGGCCCAAAGCTTTGGGACCCTGCACCCATGTGGGAGACCTGAAACAGGCTCCTGGCTTCGGACCGGCATAGCATCAGCCGCTGCGCATCGGACGGAAGATCTTCCTCTCTGTCTCTCCTCTCTGTATATATCCGCCTTTCCAATTAAAAAAATAATAAGAATTGGGCCCGGCGCGGTGGCGCAAATGGTTAAGTCCTCGCCTTGCACGCCCGGGATCCCATATGGGCGCCGGTTCTAATCCCGGCAGCCCCGCTTCCCTTCCAGCTCCCTGCCTGTGGCCTGGGAAAGCAGTCGAGGACAGCCCAAAGCTTTGGGACCCTGCACCCGTGTGGGAGACCCGGGAGACCCGGGAGACCCGGAAGAGGCTCCTGGCTTCGGACCGGCATAGCATCGGCCCGTTGCGCTCACTTGGGGAGTGAATCATGGGACGGAGGATCTTCCTCTGTCTCTCTCTGTATATCCGCCTTTCCAATAAAAAATAATAAAAATAAATCTTTAAAAATAATAATAATAAAAATAAATCTTTTTTAAAAATCATGGGATAGTTTAAATGAGTTGATCATATTTAAATGATTTTCATTTCTAAACTTGAGGTTATTGATACATTTAGCCCAAGTTCCTTTTCTCTTTGGGGTCATCACTAATTTCGAAGAACATAAAAAAAAATTCGGAAGCCAAAGCGTCTGAGAACCTCTGACATAGTCCCGGGGGACCCTGAGATCAAAGCTCTCAGGTCCTCAGATCCTCAGGTTTCAGTCCCAGGGCTGGTCTGTGCTGGGGAAGCCAAGCAATGGGCGGCTGGGGTTGGGGAGTCCTGGTCTGCCCTAGTATCACAACCTAGGTCGCACTCCCATTGGACAGCATGACGGATCCTTCTGTCAGGAGACTAGACACTCACTCCCATTGGACAGCTTTCCAGGACAGCGCCAATCAGCGTCACCCGATCACGGTATAAAGTTTCAAGCCTCCCAAGGAATCTGAGTTTTCTGCAGACTTTAAGAATTGGGTTGATGGCGCTCCGGACCCTCCTCCTGCTGCTTGCGGGGGCCCTGGCCCTGACCGAGACACGGGAACGTGAGTGCGGGTCGGGAGGGAGACGGGCTCTGCGGGGCAGGAGCGAGGGGAGCGGACACAGGACCCGGGGAATGTCCTCTCCGCTGCCACCCCGCCCTCCGCTAACCCAGACCCTTCCCCATGGTAACTTTACTGTTTAGCAATCCCAAGGACTCTTCCTTCCCTGCCTCTCCAGCAAACTTAGACCCCGGCGTCCCACTCCGGGGGCCCTGGTCTCAGCCCCTCTCTCCCCCAGGCTCCCACTCCCTGATGTATTTCATCACCGGCGTGTCCAGGCCCGAACTCGGGGAGCCCCGCTTCTTCGCCGTGGGCTACGTGGACGACACGCAGTTCGGGCGCTTCGACGGCGACGCTGAGAACCCGCAGACAGAACTGCAAGCTTCGTGGATACAGCAGGTGGAACAGGAGTACGTGGACATGCACACACAGCGTGGTAAAGAAGAGACACGCTCTAACATTGTGTACCTGAACACCCTGCCCGGCTACTACAACCAGAGCGAGGCCGGTGAGTGACCCGACCCTCCCCACGTGCGCCCAGGGCGCTCCGGGTCCCCGGGGCCGAGGTCCCCCACCCCGAGACTGCGCGCCCCGCGGAGACCCTCGGCGGGAGGAGCCCACAGGGCACACCTGGGTTTTAGTTTCGGTTCCCACTGAAATTCCCGCGGGTCCGTGAGGGCGGGGGCGGAGCTGCTTGGCCAGGGCTGACCGCGGGCGGGGATAGTCTCTCACACAATCCAGAAGATGTACGGCTGCGAGGTCGGGGCAGATGGGCGCCTCCTTCACGGGCACTGGCAGTGGGCTTACGACAGCAAGGACTACATCGCCATTAATGAGGACCTGCGCACCTGGACAGCAGCCGACATAGCAGCTCAGATCACCAAACGCAAGTGGGAGGCTGGAACTCATGCTGAGGAATTCAGGGCCTATCTGGAGGAGGAGTGCATGAAGTCTCTGCGCAGATTCCTGGAGTTGGGGCAGGAGACACTAGAGTGCACAGGTGTGCAAGGCTAGAAGGGCTACTCTTGCCCACCTCCCCTAGGGCTGGGGCTGTGGAGGAGGGGAAGAAAGTGGGGCATAGTCCCATTACACTCTCCTCATGGGCCACAGTGGAGATGTCCTCCCTTCCCTTAATGTATAAGAGTGATCAGGATTGTGCAGGCATGGAAGATTCTGAAAGAATCCTCTTGGTGCCCTGGACTCCCCCTGGGCCCTGTGAGCTGTGACCCCTCCCAGGCCTGTCCCCAACCTCAAGCCAGTGCACTAGGAGGATTCACTCCAAGTTTTTCAGTCTCTCAGCCTCCATGCAGGACAAAACCAAATCCCTTTGACCCCATCAGAGACCTGGGGTCTCTTAACTTGAACCATACCTGATTCCACATCTTTGCAGACAACAGATGATCCCATTGTCTTTATCCAGGCCAGGTCTGGGCTTGCAATGCTCCACCCCAGTCCTCCTGTTCATTCTCATGATGGACACTGAGTGCAGCTTTGGTGTCACATGAAAAACATGAAAGGCATGAATTGTCCAAATCTCCCCCCAGACCCACCCACAGCACATGTGACCCACCACCCAGTCTCTGACCAGAAGGCCACCCTGAGGTGCTGGGCCCTGGGCTTCTACCCCAAGGACATCACACTCACCTGGCAGCGCGATGGGGAGGACCTGACCCAGGACACGGAACTGGTGGAGACAAGACCTGCAGGGGATGGAACCTTCCAGAAGTGGACAGCTGTGCTGGTGCCTTCTGGAGAGGAGCAGAGATACACATGCCAAGTGAAGCATGAGGGGCTGCCTGAGCCCCTCACCCTGAGATGGGGTAAGGAGGACAGGAAGGGGAGGGCCTGCAGCAGGAGCAGGGCTCAGACCTGGGGTCAGAGTCGCTTATTGTCCGTTCCCCTCTCAGAGCCTCCTCAGCGCACTGGGCCCTCATGGGAAGTGATTGCTGGCCTGGTCCTCCTGGCAGCTGTGCTCATTGGAGCTGTGGTCACTGCTGTGATGATGATTAGGAGGAAGCGCTCAGGTAGGGCAGGGTGAGGGCTGGGTCTGAGTCTCCTGTCCCCTGAAGAGAGGGTTCCCCTATGCTAGCCTGGGAAGCAACATGTACACACACCTGCATCTCCAGCTGGGCCGTAGGTGCACACGCTGGCTCTAGTATGAAACACAGGTGAAGGTGGGGATGAACACTCCACAGGGATGACACTGCTCACAGGGACCTGAGTTCCAGCAGCCCCAGTGGGGGGAGAGGTCCTAGCTGAAGACACACCTCCAGGAGAGGCACTTCCTGACTCTCTCTTGAGTCTGCAGAAAAAGATCTGGATCTTCTCTGAGATGAGCCAGTCCTCTGGGCTTCCTCTAGGCCCTGTCTTCTCCCTGCCTCTCACTACTTGTTTTCTCTCACAGGTAGAAAGGGAGGGAGCTACACTAGGACTATAGGTAAGCATGGGGGTGTGTTTTGGGGAGGGGGAGCCCCAAGACCCTTGCCATGGTTAGATGTCCCAGGGGAAGCTGCCCTTCCCACCTGATAGCTCCTCCCTCAGCCACACCCCGGGGCTCTGACCAAGTTCTGATTGGTTCTCACAGGTGGAGACAGTGCCCAGGACTCTAACTGCTCTCTCACAGCTTGAAAGCTGAGACCTGGAGGGCCTGGAGTGAGGATAGGGGGTGGGTCTGAGGGGAAAAGAGGGACTGGAGGATTCCTTGCATTTGCACATTTTCATGTGTGCTGAGGTATTCCTGTCCCCATGTGTAGTGTCCTGAGTTTGTCACCTTGTTTCTGTTGTAGGACAATTCCCTTGTTTGGGACAGAGGGATAGAACTTTGACTGCAGCATGCAACCAGTACACACATGAGAACCAGGAAAGGAGGAGACACAGACAGCAGGGGGAATAAGGGGTGGGGTCCCGTTGTTGGACAGCTAATCCCACTGGAGAGTGTGGGCTGGGATGGGGGCACCAGACTAAGCAGGGCTACAACACCTGTGCGCCTCAGGTGGAGTATATCAGGGAAAAGCCAGATTGAGCTGATTATTCCTACTGGTGCGAACAAAAATTAGAGTGAGTGAGGGTTGTTTGGGCTTAGCCACAGCATCAGCTGGCAGAAGCTGGCACTGGGGCTAGTTCTGTCAAGTTAAACCACAGAACCACCTGAAGAGTGCATAATCCGGGAGTGAGAGAAACCTGGGAGGGAAATAGTGGGCTCCTCCCTCTTGGGTTACCACTCCCATGGGAGGGCACGAAAACCAGGACGGGGATGGGGTGGCTAGACAGAGAGGCACTCAACAACATCTGTGAGGGCTGGATAGTTGAGCTGGTTAGATGGAACTAAGCTTCAATACCCATTGACATGTATGAGAGCAGAAGGGAATGTGGGACAAACTGGACTAGTCTGCTACACATATTGACAAACCAGGGTAGGGGCAGGCCTGGTGGCGGTTATTGTGGGTCGCTCTGATTAGGCTGCAACTCCCACTGATCTATGTGAGGACCGAGTGTGTGCTGGGCAGAAACAGGCTGGACTGCAACTCCCACTGGTCCCAATGGAAGACAGGGCTGGAAACAGAACCAACCGAGCAATGAACTGTGCCCTCCCCTGTGCTTGCTAGTACATACAAGAATCTGGTCTGGGAACACCTCAGACAAAGTTTCTTTGGGGATCTCCCCAACTGAAATGCCAGACTCAGAACCCTAACCATGAAAAGACAGAAGACAGAACAAGTCAAACACCTCAGCTATATGTTGGCAGCAAAATACTGGGCAAATGGAGACTTTGGATGGACTAAGTCAATCAGTGGATTCTTCAACAACCTCATTGTGCTTGAAGTGGAAAGATTGGCAGCAATTCATAACTGTTGAATTTATCAAAACCACTTGAGCAAGTATCTCAGAGCATGCCCCACATCAGGACCAGGGGTGGGTCAGAGATTGGGTGGGGCTTCTCCCTCAATATCCCCCTTTACCTCAGATATATGAAAGAAACAATGTGGAAATAATAGTCTTACCCACTTCCTTATAGCCCTTGAACCTTTTTTCCCTAATTAACTATGTAAAGATTGTCAAAAATATAATAAAAAATAAAATTAGAAAAGAACCTTGCTCAAGTCCTCATCATTGTGTCTTCAAAAAGCCCTGTCCTCCCTTCCTGCACAGGCATCTGGGTGTGTTCCTGTGAGCACAGTGTGAGGTGGGCGCCTGGCTTTCCCAGGGCAGCATGGGCACCTCCATCCCTGTCTCAAGTCAGGTGCATCTGCTGCAGCTTCATCCTTCCTGTGCAGATCTGAACAGCAAATCATTTTTGTCATTCTTGTGGAGGCATTGGAGAGAAAATTATAAGAAAATTTCAAAAATTGTACAGAGAAATAAACAGAAGCACCAAGAACCTTCTACAAGCCATGTGTCTGCTGTGTTGAGTCTGCTGCAGGTGGGATATGAGAGGCTAGGGGGCCCTGGGTGAAGATGGGTTTGTGCCCAGGTGGTCCCAAGCCCATCAGGCTTTGTCATGGTCACTGCCAACTTGGCTCAGCTGCCCCAGTATCCTGGTCTCTCTGGTAGAACGTGCTCACCAACACCTGCCATCACAGGACTCAGCCATAGTTAGGCTTGCCTTGTTGCATGGACATTAGTCAGTGGAAGCTGCATGGGGCCAAGACAGGCAAAGTTCACACTTGGGTTCTACCCTTGGCCCCCATCTTCTCCTGTCCATTTTGTTCCTTAATATTGTTGGCTGGCTGATTGCACCTGCTCTTCCTGTGTGTGAGCTCTGGTGGCCTTCACCTCTGTGTGTGCAGGACACAGTGTAGGAGGGAAGCAGGAGGGCAGAGGACACTTCTGAGGAAGCACAGGCCACATGAACACCAGTGGAAGAGGACACCGCTCTGCTGTGGCCACAGTTGTCCTCTGTCTCAGGCTCTACTAATGAAGCCTTGGGGGTCTGGAAGGGGCAGGTGCAACACACATCACTCAGGTCACCCTGCTGTGGGTGAGACACAGTACTGGGCAAGGTGGTCCAGAGTGGTTGTGAGGGGTGGGGCAGCTGGCTGTCTCACCACCATGGTCAGCTTTCACTGAGCTGAGGCGGTGGCTCTGAGGAAGGTTGGAAGGACACCAGTGAAGGTTTCTGGGCAGGTGCTGTGCTGGAAGGCGACAGCCAGTGCAAATACCCTGGGCAGGAGCAAGTCTGCACACAGAGCAGGGAGCTGTCAGGAAGGCTGGGTCGGGCACCACCATCCACCTTACTGTAATGCCCAGCCCTGGCTCTGAGTGAGGTGGGAATCATGAGACAGTTCCGAGCAGAGGGACATGTGCACCTTCCCCCGTCCAGTGACCACTCTGGCTGCTGCGTGAGGATGGGGCTGAGAGACTGAGAGGCTGGAGACAAAGCTCTAGGGGCTCTTGCCATGTCCAGGCAGGGATTCCAGCCACTGTGGTGGATGTGGGAGAGAAAAGGTTCTGGATCTTTCTGCAGATGGATGCACAGCTCTTCCTACGGACTTCATCCAGGGAATGAGGAGGAGGAGGCGAGGAGGACTCCCAGGGCTTCAGGCTGTGGCAGTAGGGGGATGGAATCACTGTAGGAGAAGGGCGACCTGGGAGTGTGGATCCCAGGAAGGGCCTCCCTGGTTTTCAGTTCATTAGCAGTGGGAGCCAGGATGTCGGTGTGAATTGAGTGACACTGGAGAGCTGGCTTTGACCACAAGTCAGGAGCTGAAGGAGATGTCTTTGTGGGAGACACACTGGGGAGGTGACTCCATATGGAGTACGTTTGCAGTCAGCAGAGATGGGGTACCCAGAGAGTGAGTGGCTGTGATGAATGTGTATACAGGACCAAGCCCCGGACCTACAAGGCTAAGTGGAGGGACCAATGCCATAGTCCTAGCCATGCAAGGCTGAAGTCACTGTGAAAACCTGGGACTTCAGATTTGCTGAGGGCATCCCATGGTCATTAGGAGGTTGGACAGTTTGGAGTGGCAGGGTATCTGCGTGTGGCTTAGGTAGGTACAACAGCACCACCCCCAGGGCACGGTCTGGCACCAGGAGGGGAGACTGGACTCCCACCCAGGCCTCAGCTTCCCCTGAAACATGGTTACATAAGCACACCTGGACCCCAGACCCCACACAGAGAGGGGCTACTCTGGCAGAGACCTGGGTACAGAAAATACAGTTTCACTTAGGATCTTCCAGGCTCATAAGGGGGACACACATGCACCCAGTACTGAACCACACCTTCCCGCTGACCTCTGACTGTGCCCAGGCTGCTGTACTGGGCAGGACTCTACCAAGGTGCTTGGTAGGGAGTCCCAAATCAAAGTCAGCTGTACGATTTCCCCAGGGAGGCTCCACCCTCACCAGGCACCTTCCTGGTTAGCTGGGATGGAGGAGTGGGGGAGGGGCAGTCACTGCAGTCTCAGCTTGTGATGTTTCAGCTCCCAGTGTTCACATCCAGAGAGGGCACAGCCAAGGTCAAAGGTACATATGTTCTCTGAGAGCCTTGTGACCAACTCTGCCTTCACCCACACTGGGAACCACTGGGCTAGTGTGCAGAGAACACCACAAGTTGGGGAGGGGTCAGAAAATTATGTTTATGTATTTGAAGGTTTTTTTCATCTTTGTGAAAAGGAAAGTGCTCCCCCAACCTCTGGCTCACTCCCCAGTTACCCACAGAGCTTTGGGAAGGGCATGCCAAAGCCCAGAGCCCAGAACTCAGTCCAGGTTTCCTGCCTCCCAGGGTGTGCACTGGGTGGACACTGAGCCAGAAGTAGAGCCAGGATTCCAACAGAGCACTGAGATGGAATTGGGCATCCAAAGCTGCATCTCCATCCTGTGGAGAAAAAAAAGACACAGGTGTGTAGTGCTAACACAGGATATTGGAGATACACGGTGTCCTTTCTCCTGGGGGTGGGGGTGGGAAGCCCAGGAGAAAGGTTCAGGAAGAGGCCCACAGCTGAGCACACAGACCCTCCCTGGATCCTGCTGCCTCACATGGTGCAGAGCATGGATTCTCACTCTGGGAGCCCACAATGAAATCCAGGAGTTGCTAACATACCTTACACCTGTCTATGTGACAACATGAGCCTGACAGAAGGCAGAGGAAATGCAGAGGACCTGGTTGAGGCTGCACAGACAGGAGCAGAATCCATGGCCTCACCCAGGATGGTCCAAACCCTGCATCTGGGGAACCACAGCCCTGCTACTGGGCACAGAGGGCAGAGCTCATACCCCTGACCTGACTCTGGACCTGAGTCTGCATCAGGACTGCTGTCCCCGTTGCCTCTGATTTTTACATTAGGGATGTTGCTGACAGCCTAGGCGTCCTGATTTGAAGCTCTGAGGTGTGATTGAAATGCTTCTCTTGGGGTACATCATGATGGCCAACTAGCTAAATCCTCACCTTGTACATACTGGGATCTCACAGGGTCTCTGGTTCATGTTCTAGCTGCTCCACTTCCCAGCCAGCTCTCTGATTGTGTCCTAGAAAATCAGAGGAGGACAGCCCAAAGCCTTGGGACTCTGCATCTGAGTGGGAGACTAAGAGAAAGCTCCTGGCTCCTGGCTGCACATCAGCTCAGCTACGGCCATTGTGGCCACTAGCGGAGTGAACCAGCTGATGGATGATATTTCTCTCTAATTCT